CGGCCCCACCCACCCCCTCCTTCCCCAGTCTCCTCAGCCCAGGGGCCCAGCCAGGGTCAGGTCTGCCCGCGCTGCCCTCCACCTCCCAGTGCTCTGACCCCATCCCAGCACCACTGGTGCTCGCCTCAGCCTGCTGCACCCTGCGCCCCACGGAGCTCGCTGGTGACCAGATGGGCCCGAGGTAGCTCCTGACCCCTCCAGACCAAGCCCGGGCGTGGCCTTTCACCCCCAGAAACACCAGCCCACCCAGACAGCACACGCTCTCCCAGGCCCTATGCACACGGTGTGCCGCCCAGACTTTCCCCTCACCCCCACACCGGACCCCCTTCTGGACAGCCCCCCCATGCTGGCCTGGCCTGTGTGTTCTCAACCCCATCTTCTTCCCCAGGGCCTGGGGTTCCTTTGCCACGCAAGTTCTCTCTGTAGACCTCTCTCTGTAGGCCGGCCCTGAGCGCCTGCTCACGGCTGCCAGCACTCCGGGCCAGCTCAGCCCAGCTTCGCCTCATGCGGCCAGGGAGTGACTGAGGAGCTCTTGGTTCCCACCCACTAGTTACCGGATGGATAAACTTCAAGCCACCGGCTAGACAGTGAAATGTCATCTCTGAGCATTTGAGATGTGTGCACCTCATGAGACATTGTGAACCTATTCAGGACACCACTTCCAATTTTCTTTTGTGCTTTTTTGTGCACGGCTCCCCTTCGTTTTGTGTGTCCAAGAAGCTCCCGCTCCTCCAGATTCTTGGCTGGACTGTAAGCCGCCTCCTATGGCGTTACCAACTTCACTTGCAAGTGATATTTGTGCAGGTACCCTTTCCAAATCCTAAAGTCTTCACACTAATGAGAACAAGTTGGTCCAGGTGTGACTTGTTGCATGATATGCTCATATTGTCTAGTTCAGAAAGGGAGTGTAAGGACATTTGTGCAGAGAAGTTGTACAGAGAAATCAGAGGATGGCGGGAAGAGGCCGCAGGGTGTGGTGAGGGACCGGCTTCTGCTGGCGTGGCACTGCGGGAAGTCCTTCCACGGAGCTGGCTCCAGGTTCTGATTGCTTTTCAGTTTGGTTCTTGCATTCACCACAAAGCTCCTGAGTACTTAAGACAGGGAAGGAAAGGAAAGCATCAGGCAGGACACCTTGGTATTTTACTCCTGATGAGTACAAATGAGAGCAGGCAGGCAGTTCCTTCAGGCTCTTCCCTTGCCAGAGCCCAGTTGGCCAGGGCTGACAGGACTAGTAATGCATCGTGTTTCCAGCATTGTTCACACCGTTGCCAGTGCTCCACAGAGCTGTGTCTGCAGAGGCTGTCCACAGGGCAGACTGGGTCACTGTTTCCACTTCCAGACTAAGAGAAATGTGAAAGGCCGGGGCACACAGCTCAGCACAGCTCATGGAGCTGGCCGGGCTGGATGTGAATGGGTGCCGGGTTTCTGTACTCAGCGCTCAGCACCGTGAGCGGACCACGCCGCTGCGGGCCGCAGGGTGTCATGCTTCCCAGCCGGGAGGCCTCGCGGCGGGCGGCGGGCGGCGGGCGGTCACGCATTCTCTGTCCGTCTGCCTGTTTCCTCACGCTGGCCATGGCGAACACTTCCACGACACATATGGCAGCCTGACCGCCCCGGCACACACACTCCATTCCTTGGCCGTGAGCCGACACCGGGCTTGCTGGAACCTGATGGTGCTTCTAGATCTGGTTGGAGGAATCTCCACATTGATGTCCACCGTGACACCTAGCTCACATTCTACACGCCACAGAGTTGATCCCACAGAGCCCAGAGGGGGACGGCGACAATCCAGGGTGCACTCGGACGGGGGGGGGCTTCCGTGGCTCTGTGGCACAATAAAACTACCGGCGTGAATAACTAATTTCCGTTTCTCACCATAGTCAGCAGGAGGGAGTTTCATTGTTCTCAACCCCAAGGAATAAAAATAATGTGCGAGGTGAAGAGTATGCCAGTTTCCCCCACTGACACATTGAGTATGGTGTTGAAATCCCACAGTGTACGGTACACACGTAGCTTCGGTGTGTGTGTGTGTGCATGCATGTTCATTTACAGACCTTAAACGTACAACATACCGCTCCCCCTCACTCCTTCCCCGCTCGGGTCATTAGACACGACACTTACTTTTCTCTTGCTCCAATGACGCTCTGAGTTTGGAAGAGCATCTTGTTTGGAGGTATGGCGTTTCACTATAGCTCTGCCGGGAGGGGCAGCAGCCCAGGAGAGCGGGGCTCCACACAGCAGATGCGTCCGGATGATTCCTGCACAGGTTCTGGTTTATTCCATGGGGCTTTATTCTCAGGAGGTGTTCAAAGCTGTGTCCTCACACACAGCACGTATGCCCACAGAGAAGAATTACCAGGAAAAAAGAACAGCCCAGTTTGGATTCAAGCACCCCTCTGGTATCAGTTCCTCTACAAACGTCCGTGAAATGCTCACTCTGCCGCTTGCGATTTCAGCTCTGTGCGGCGGCTACATCCACGGGAAGAGTGGGACTGTCCTTTCTCCTGGATTTCCAGACTTCTACCCAAACTCCCTCAACTGCACGTGGACCATTGAAGTCTCTCACGGAAAGGGTAGGATGGCGGTGCCGGTCTCTCTCACAGAATCGTAAATAAGCTTGCTCACGCCAGTGAAGAAAAGTGTGCAATCCAGAGGGATGACCCCTGCCCTCGGATGCACTCACTTTTCACTGCTGTTTTAAACAGGGTCGGGGAAGGGATTTGTCTGTGTATCATTGGAGCTACAAGCACAAGTAGATTCCTTCATTGGTTCTCTATCAGATAACTTGCTGAGTATAGGCTGTTATACACTTGGAAGTTTAAAAAAAGCAAAGAGAGAACAACTTTAAAAAACTTGGAAATCAGGTGTAATGCTAAGGAGCCAGGCACCAGTAAGAGAACACACAAACACTGATTGAATAAGAGAGAAAAGAAGCAGCCGTCTAAATATTAATTTCTGTGATAAATCGGTGCTTGCCTTGAGTTTCAAGTAACCCAGTATGGTAACAAGCAGTCACAGACATATCATCTAATAATGGCATCTTGCCGAATGACACCCATCCCCTCAGGGCACTGGCAAGGAGAGCCACAAATAGGAAAACTTGAATCCTATGCAGAAAACATCGATTGTAGACATTGGACGGGGGTTGGTGGTGCATGCCTGTAATCCCAGTGCTAGAGCGGCTGATGGAGCACCATGAGCTCCAGGCCAGAGGAGGTGTGGCCCTGCCACACAGCCGTTCACCGGTCTGCCCTCTCCCACCCCTCAGGAGTGCAGATGGTCTTCCACACCTTCCACCTGGAGAGCTCCCACGACTACTTGCTCATCACAGAGGACGGGAGCTTCTCCGCGCCCGTGGCCAGGCTCACGGGCTCCGTCCTGCCGCACACCATCAAGGCGGGGTTGTTTGGGAACTTCACAGCCCAGCTTCGCTTCATCTCAGACTTCTCCATCTCCTACGAGGGGTTCAACATCACATTTTCAGGTATGCCGTTCCTTTATGCTGCTCCTCTTGTAATAATCCTGCTCGCTCTCTCTCTCTCGCTCGCTCGCTCTCTCTCTCTTTTTCTGTGTGTGTGTGTTTGTGAGATTGCTGGTAGATTTCTAAGCTGTGGGGTGCAGGAGTCTGAGCCCCGTGACACGGCTTGCTAGGGTATCTTCTGGCCACACACATGTCTCGGTGCCCTGCAGTATTTTATAATTCTCACACTTGAAGAATTATAAATAAAACCGCATTTCCTGGAAAACACTTCTGCCTCATTTCTCCTCTGGTCTGCCCATGCTGAGGAAGTCCTGTGCACCGATGGGCACACTCAGGGGCCTGTGCACCAATGGGCACGCTTAGGGCCTGTGCACAGTGAGCATGCTCAAGGGCCTGTGCACAGTGAGCATGCTCAGAGCCTGTGCACTCATGGGCCTGTGCACAGTGAGCATGCTCAGAGCCTGTGCACTCATGGGCCTGTGCA